CCCTATGCCCGCGCAGTTGAAGATGTCAGAGACTTGTTCTCTCTGCGCCTGCCACCATGTTACATCTCCTCAGTGATATTCATGTTGCCCTTACAGCTTCCTGGTATAAGCAAGTTCTTGGGATTATACAAACTGCTGCTTCTGTTTCCAGTCCAGATTTCTAGAAATGAAACTCTGGGCCGCACTGACGAGCGTCCGCGCTTGTCTGCGACCGTAGCAGAGCCGCCCTGGCCTCCGCAGCTCTTCAGCCCGGTGCCAGGCCCCAGGGGCCCAAGCGGCTGCCGCTGCGGCTCTCCATCCCCCTCCTCCGGAGCACGGGTCCCCTGGCAGGGGGGTGCAGAACGACCCCAGAGCAGGCTCTGCCCGAAGGTGCAGCAGCGAACAGGCCACAGAGACGCTCGAGGCTGCAGTCCAGCCTTCGGAGGACAGGGCTCGGCACGCAGCCCAGCTCCAACCTCTAGGTGCGGCTGCCGGACAGTGTATACAGAGCCATCAAGACAGCAAGCAGAAAGCAAATGGCGGCTCCCGCGGGGTGGATTTTCGGCACAGAAACCACAGCCCCGCCAGCAATCCCAATCCACAAACTCTCCCTGTATAAAAAATATTCAAAAAAAAAAGAGAAAAAAAAAGAAGAAAAAAAAAAAAAGGCGGGGCGCACTGAGCTTTCTTTGCCTCGGGTACTTACAATCCACTGCTGATTACACATTCAGCTTCTCCGCCCGGATCGAAGCGAAAGAGGAAGCAGATGGGAGCCTAAATTTTTATATTTTAATCGAATAAGAAACAAGTATGTTTTTATTCATTGCCTACTTATCAGTTGAGTCAAGATGATTTTTGTTAAGTTATAAAAACTTGATGTATGGTTAAGTATTAATTTCTCACTAGTTTTGGATCCTGTTAATATCTCATTCATCAGTTAACTTTGTCAATGTTTCTTTCATTTTCATTTAGTAAAATCCACCAATTTTCCACTTTTTTTTTCTTGTGGATCTTTAGGAGACCTTCATAAGGTCCTCAAATCCTTATTTATGAAACATAAATTATCTTTCATATTTACTACATGTTAAGAATAATTGTGGGGCTGAGGTTGTGGCTCAGCAGTAAAGCACTCACCTAGCACATGCAAGGTGCTGGGTTCAATCCTCAGCACCACATAAAAATAAAAACAAGTAAAAATAAAGGTATTGTGTCCAACTACAACTAAAAAATAAAATAATAATTGTATATAAGGCCCATGTTTTTTTTTTCCTCCATATCATGAACCAATTGTCTAAACACTCTATGAAGTCTTCCTTACTATTTCATGGTATCACTGATATATTTCAGATTTCAGATTCACATTTACATGTGTCATTTTACTTTTATATGAACCTATGACTCTTCCTACACAATTTTGACTACTGTCTTAAATAATATGTTCATGTGCAATAAGGTGATGCCTCTTTCCTGTTTTTACTTTGCCAAATCAACTAAGCTTTTTTGTGAACTTTTGTTTTCCTGTTATAAAAAGTTTAATGGGTTTCTGGGGGAAAAACAGAGGAAAAAGTCCCAATGAAATTTAACTGGAATTGTGTTCAATTTATTGGTTTAGGGAGGGTTCACATCTTTACAATATCAGAAACGTAACTGTCCATTTATGCTGATCTTCCTTTATGTCTTTTAAGTGTTTCTAAAATTCATCCAAAATCTTTTACATTCACTAATATGAATAGTTGTATTGCCACTATGACTTCACTGTTTTATGGTTTTATTCTTATGATGAACATAATCTTGTCTTCCATATTTTTAGTGGGATATTGCTATTATAATGGAAAGTTACTGATTATTTTATAACTTAATCATTGAACTTCTTTACAAGGCCTGAATTTGTGAGGTAATCCATAGAGCATTTCAACTTAAATAAGGATAGTTCTGTGTCACAGTAGTGGCAATCATAGACATGCTTGTTTCTGGTCTCAGTGGGAGTGTTTCAGTTTGTGTTTCTCTGAGAGAAAAGCCAAGACAAGAACTTGTTTCAGATAGTTTATTTAGGAATAGTTTATTAGGAAAATGGAATAGAAAACATAGTCAGGGGAGGAGGAAATGCCAATATACAGCTGTGCTTCTGAAGTTTTCTCTGTAGGCAACAGGGATTCGATTCCTTTTCTGATAGCAGGAAAAAATTCCTCCCATCATCTCTGTCTGCAAAACACAAATCTGAGGCATTTCTCCATGGCCTGATCCCTGTTAGTGGAGGGTGTTAATAGGGTGTTAAGCCCAGCACTTTCCCACTACACTTGCATACAAGCTGAGATTCTTGCAGTTTGGGAGCAGAGAGCAGAAAAGTGGAGAGTGGTACAGGAGGGATGCTGTCAGAATGAGCTCAGCTCACATGAAAATGCCCACCACGGCTGCAACCAAAAGTGGAAGAACACAGAGGAGACGTGACAGTACCAACAGCACCCACTTTAGCCCACCCTTTGTACCATGCAGACCCTCCCATGCCCACCTTAAGCTGTTGTGGACTGAGAGGCCATTTGTAATCTCTAGAAAACACAGTATGGGAGGGTCAGTGGAACTAGCCAGTCCCCATTGCTGCTGCTGGTCACAGGCTGATCACTATTATTTTTCTTCTGCCATCTTTTCCAGAATTTCCTTATTCTTGGCCAGTACTTCAGCTCTACTAAGCTGCTTGCCTGGTATAGTGATACACACCTTCAATCCTGAGAGCTTGGCTGCCAAGACTCTGTGGAAACACAGTTACCTCTCTGAATTCTCTGCCCATTATGTAGCAGTAAGCAGAGGCTTTGGAGGTGATCAATATTACAACTCCTTTCTTTGCTACTATCCCACCAGTGTGGAAATCCTAAAGTAACTACTTGTGGCAGATATTGTCAGATTCCTTGAAACCCTTACTATATTTCCAGGTGACCCTGTACCTTACTCTTTAAGGTTCAGAACCTCTTAGCCAGCAGGGCCTATATCTGCAGAGATGGGAACATAAATTCAACAAATGAGTTCATTGAAATGATACTGGGAGACACCAATATGCTTGTTTCATGGTCCTGACCCTGGTAAAGGACCCTATTGGTTTAATGTACAAGTATAAAAACTTATAGGGACAGATAGTAAATAGCTTAGTCTTTGTAAGTGATAAATGCCTTTGTCCCAACTACTTTGCTACTGGTGATCAAAAACAGCCACAGACAACACAAAAACATTTCTATAAAGTTAGCACATCCTTTAGGATGTTTATCCCACAGACATAAGAGACAATCATTCTGTGATTGCACATTATCATTTTGCCACCAAGTTGCTAGCTGGTCTGGTTTCCTGAGAAGTCAGGACCATAGAGGCAGCCCAGCTGCCGGAGGACCCATTAACTGCATCCATTCCTGTCACCTTGTCAATTCTGCTCTAATGACATGGGGCAAGCACTGGAATAAGCAAAAGACATCTCACAAATGAGTGATGCTACCTTTCAAACACATATAGATTCAGCATATGTTAATAAAATTCAAATGCAAGGGCTGGGGATGTAGCTCCGTGGTAGAGTGCTTGCCTAGCAAATGCAAGGCCCTGGGTTCAATCCCCAGCACCACAATAAATAAATATTATAAATAAATATTCAAATCCAAAGTTCAGGGTATATGTACTTCCTCTTAAACATCTCTCCTAACTAACCACTTTTTCTCACCTTTCTTATTCCCTCCCCCAGATACCAAGGAGGCTTTCAAAGTAGCAGGCTTCTTTGATTGCCTGAGTAGCTAGAATACAAACAGCAAATGGCATTGACTTGTAACTATAATTTTCTTTATTATGAATGGAATTAAGTGGTCCCTCCACTACAGATTAATTTTGACATTCAAGGAAATAAAAATTGAAAATATATACATATTCTTAAGTGAACATGTATAAAATAACATTTTATTTTCCCTTTTACAGAAAAGTAAACTCACACTTAAAAAACTGTCCCTTAATTTAAAAATGAAAAGTGATACATTTTGTGTTATGCATTTCTTGCCAAAATAAAAATTATGGCATTTTAATATGACCACAGTTACTGGGGCAGAGGGGGGTCTATACTCTGGTAATCTCCCAGCTCCCTTAATTTCCACAAGTATTTGCTTTTAGAAAGGGGAGCTAGATGCAATGTGACATCCTGAATTGGGTCACAGAACAATAAAAGAATATTAGTAAAAAACTGGTGAAATCTGAATAGAATGTACAGTTTGATCAACAATAACATCCCAACACTGATTTCTTAGCTTTGACTCATATGGTTTGGTATATAAAATGTTAACATTAAGTGAATCTTGGCAAAGGACACATGAGAACTTCCCACACTATCTTTGCAACTTTTCTATAATTCTAAAATTATTTTAAAATGAAGTTTATTAAAAAGTGGGAAACTTAAGTATGTACCTGTGTAGACTAGAACACAAAATTGAGATTGTTATAATTCCCCTAGAGAAGTATCAATAAGTTCCACCAACATTAATAAGCTGATTAAAGACACTTTTTTTAATCATCATGGTTGACAAGGTTTTCCAACATATTTTAGATTCCATACTTTTAATACAGTATTACTATACGTTATTTATTGGACATTGGAAGATCATAGATTTGTAGATTATGATCAGAGGGCAGGCTGGGATATAGCTCAGTGGTAGAGTGCTGGCCTCCATTGTGCTAGTATTATCTCTCACACCACAAAGGCAAACAAACAAACACTGGAGGGGTACTAAACTATCTATTAACTTTAACCATGAGAGAATCAACACCAGAAATATTAATAACTGGTCAATAGTTTCTAGAATTCAATTCTTCATTCTCAGATCAATAATTTAGATTGCATTTTTTTCTCTAGGTTACCCTCTGATGAGATAAACTAATGTGTATTTTGTTAGTTTTTTAAATGCATAATTCAGTTTTTCATGATTCCTGTGAATGTTACAAAATAATTATTGCTAAATGACAGCATGATGGCAAATTAACAGAAGACAACAACAAAAACTTCATTGTATACTAAAGGTGTTCCTTTTTAATGCGAGAGTAATTCACAGTAAATAGGAATTTAAGAATATTTTTTAAGAAGTAACAATTTTAGGTAGGCAATCATGAGGAAGATAATCATCATACAAGCCAAAGCCACATGGTTCTGCCACAAGCCCCAAGGTGAGAGATCAATGCCCTGATTTGTCAAGTATTCTTCACCAGTACACCTGAAATTCAACAGAAAACAATATAATGTCATTCCTACAATCTGTCAAATTTTATTCAGCATATTCTCTGCTCCTTATTGAGGCCTAGAGGTAACAAAATTGTTAATAATAATCCCTTCATGAATAATTGCTAACAGTCACTGAATGCTTACAATTTTGCTAGATACTATGCTAAGTAACTTGTACCTAACAGTTTAGTTAATAGCTATTACAATCCCAAGAGTATATATATGATACACATTTAAAATAGGAAGGGAAGGAAGCTTAACAACCTTGGCCAAATTTACAGAGTCATGCTATGGACCAAGTTTCTAGCCTCCTCCGATTTATTCATTAACAAATCTAGGATGCTGCTCTCTTTGAAGGAAACTTTACCAAGTTAATCTTCCACTTACTTCTGATGGGCAACCCTTAGCTTAAACTAATGACACTTACAGCCCTTGCTAAGGTGATCACCAACAAGACAGCCAGCAAAAGAATACAGGCAAGAATGCTAAATCTAAGAACAAAGGGAGTAAAAGCTTCCAGTCAGAGCAATATTTGGTCAACTGCTGCACCAAGACACTAGGGAGGAGTGTAGAAACCCAGCTATAGGACGTGACCAGGAGGCCCAGGAATCAGACTCAACCCTTAGGTAGCAATTGGAGCACAGCAGGATGGAACATTCCTGCCACAGGTTTGAAAATCAGCTGTTACTAAAAACACCTGGTGCAGCCACAGTTATTGCCAGCTGCCATTCTTGTGCACCTCTAAGAATTTATCATTCCAGAAACTTCGGTGGCCTCTCTTGCTATAAGAGGAGTTTCCTTCCTCCTTTTGTGAGGATGAGCCTTATATGAGCATGAAGCCCTCAGTGGCTCCTCCTTATCTCGTCACACTCTTCCCAAGCACTCCATCCTGACCAGTATCCTGGCAATGAGTTTCTGTTACAAAGATGCCACACCCAGATCAAACAAAAAAAAGAGTGGGCAGGGTAAAGAAAACTCTTCTTCACAGATTTTCCTTATTAGTACTCAAAATAGAAATGTGACCTATTACTAACAATTATTTGAACATTTAGAAGAGATTGAGGATACCAGTATTCTTTTCTCTCATTAATTCATGCATCAAAATCAAACCATTAACAACAGCCATAGAAAAGAAAATATTATTCAAATTTTAAAACTAGATCCTATAATTTTATTAAAACCTGATTTCTGTTTTAATGACACTATGCAAAAACAAACTTCCTTCTTTATACTATTTTTTCCCTGTCAGATCTTACTAGTGGCTGGGTTCACAGGTATCATATATAGTTCAAAGCTATAAGCCCTTGCTAAACTATCAAAGCAGCCCATTTCAAATTGTTCTGAAAAAAATTACAACAAAATCAAAATCAAAACTATTTAAAAAGTATCTTTTAAAATGGCCTAAACAAGCAAGCAACACACAGGAAATAGTATTCCATGTTAAATACAACTTTGACTGTTAGAAGATAGGAGTTGTACAGCACGTTCACATATATTAGGGCACAATGATTACTTTATGAGTAAAAAAATTAAGCTCAGAAATGTTTGTTGACACTGAAATGACTCCTATCAGTTCTAAGTCCTGGGGCCTTTCTACACCACTCCACAGTAGAAGCAATCTCATGCTCTGACACTGCATGCATACTTACATTGAATTTTCAGTAGGACGGGTACTGATTTCTGTTTTATTTAATTCTGGACAGAAGTTTTGTTCCAAAAATTCATTATACTGCAAAGCCTACAATAGAAAGGGGAGTGAGGCAAGGTAATACTTGTAAATTTCAAAAGGTTTCCAAGGAATTATCACAACTATGTCTATTATGATTTGAATATGAGGTATCCCCAAAAACCTACTGTGTTGGTAGTGGGAATATTCAGAAGTAAATGATTAAATTAGGAGACTTGAACCTAATTGGTCCATCCTAGTTTCAATGGGCTAACAAGGTAGTAACCATGAGCAGGTGGAGCATGGTTGGTGGAGTTGGGTCGTTGGAGGTATGCTCTGGAAGGGTCGATTCTCCCCTGCAGCACCTTCCTCTCTCTCCTTCCCTTTTCTCTCTCTCTCTCTCTCTCTCTCTCTCTCTCTCTCTCTCTCTCTCTCTCTCTGCTTCCTGACTTTGCCAAGAGCTGAGCAGCTTTTCTCTGCTGGGCCTTTCTTCCATGATTGCTGCTTTACCTCGTGCCCAGAGGAATGGAATCAGCCATCTATAAACCTCTGAAACCACGAGCCCAAATAAACTTTCCCTCCTCTAATCTGCTCTTGATGGGTGTTTTGGTCACAGTAATGAAAAAGCTGACTAAAACAATGTTCTTGAATTTAATTCTACTGTTATTTCTAAAAACATACCAAGTCTCTCACACAGTACTTACCAAAGTGAAACAACTAAAGTTAGAAACCTGGTCGTGGTGTGTTAAGACACAGGTTATTTCGGAGCTGATTAGCTCCTTAAAACTAATATGGCTCTGAGCATTAAATAATCCTTGTTTTCCTTCTAACATAAACTGTGAATTCTAGTCTCTCATCTTCTCATTTATTTCCTTATCAAACTGAAACACAATATTTTTTTCACCAACGAGTCACTCTTTTCCCTTTACTATGAGATTTCTCCCCAACCTGCCATCTTCCTCAGACAATGGCGTGACTTGGGAAAATACCCAGTTGACTCCCTCACCTTTTGCTAAACAAGGCTAAAAGGAAACACTGATGTATTTCTCCTGAAAGACAGTTCCTAGATGGAAGATATTCACAGCTTATGGGTGGGGAAATGAGAGGGTCAGGCTTGATTCTGGTTGTTCCCAGGTGGAAACGCACTCACGCAGATAAGGACAACTTACCGTATAGCCATATCTAGGAATGCTGAAGTACTGTAGCCATGAAAGCCAAGGTGCAATGGTTCTGAGATTTACCAAAAGACCTGAAAAAAGCTACAAAAAGCAAAACTGAACAGTCAGAACAGGTCCAAAAGTTTCATGAAAAATTCTAAACAGAATCCTCTTCAAGAACTCTACAACCTTCTAAACATTCTGCTAGGACCAATTCTTTCTTGAAATTCTTTCCACTACTTTAAGCACTTACTCATCATCCTCCTTTGCATGTGTATACCTCTGCATAACTGTGGCAGTTCATGTTTAATGGAAATACAATAAACCTATAGTTTATATTATATATTCCACTTATTTGGAAAATTCTTGTCAAGACTAGATTCTAATCTTTCTCTGTAACTGTAAGGGAAGATTAAGAAGTACAGTCACCTCTTGGCATCCACATACAGATACCAAAATGTGGAGATGCTCATGTCCCTTAATTGCATATAACTCATGCACCTCCTTTATACTTTATACACACCCTGTACTTATTTAAAGTCAACTCCAGATTGTTTATAATACCTAACACAACATAATGCCATGTAAATAGTTTAGCAAGGGCTTATAGCTTTGAACTATATATGATACTATATATGTATTCTTTAGGGAAAATCACAAGAAAAAAGTCTGTACATATTTAGTACAGATGCAATTTTTTTATATATGTATTTTCTACCTGCGGTTGGCTGAATCTTTAAATGCAGAACTCACGGACACCAAGAAACAAGTGTGCTTATTATTTTAAAGAAGCCACCACTATGTGTTCACCCTAATAAACCTTGTAATCTAAGAACAAATCCAGAACAATCCTAAGTATCAGATGATCCCCTCTATACCCACACAATAAGATTCATTATTAAAGAGGATTTGCAGTGTATGTCCATGAGTTTAGGAATAACTGGGGGTTCTGAATCCAGGCTTAAGATAACCCAATGCCTAGAACTGATAAAAAGTATAATATAGTGAAGGAAATTGGAAAACATGGTCAATACCTCCACTTAAAGTGACCAGAAAGCAATGGAGATGCCAGGAAGGACTGCTTGAGACATACCAGGGACAGCTACAAGGTCCATGTAACACTTGTCCTAACTGATACTAGATACACTGAGATGTGCAGAACAATGACAATGTTGTCATGTGCCTTTGGATATTTACTCTTGGATGTACCATGTGCTACACTGATACATTGTAGGTACCATGACCTACATTGGTAGTTTCCAAATTCAGAAAGGAAGAACTAAATTCTGAGAAGAGTCTGAGCTAATTATGTCATATTTAAAGATACGTACTGCAACTCTAACAGAAAGTAATATTAACATTTTCATTAATAAGCTAAGCAATCCTTGATGTCTGAAAAGGAAAAAAAAATGTCTGAAAAGGAAAAAAAAAAGATGACTGGTTCCATTAATCCATTGAGTCTATATGAGTGTAAAACCTAGGGAGTTTTTTAAGATTAGGAATATTAGCCATCAAGCAAAAAAAAAACAACCCAGAAATAAATTGATATAAGAGATTCTCAGAATCCAAGAAAGGGTTTCAAAATATAAGAGGGGCCCTAGTAAGACTCCCCTGAGCCACACAGAGCTTTGCTTTGATCTGGATTTGCTCTATGCCTCTCACAGAGCTTTGCTTTGATCTGGATCAAAGGGCAGTGAATGCATCAAACTCTGCTGTGGGTAAACAGGTGGCAGTTCTCTAACACCAGCATTAAAGGCTGGCAGATAACCTGCCGTCTTTTATGAGGGAACCAGCCAATCATTGTTCTGTTTTTTTTTTTTTAAAGTTCTTATTTACCAAGGTTTCTAAAATATCAACAGAATTGTCTTTTAAAAGCACATTAGAGGGCCAGAGTTGTGGCTCAGTGGTAGAGCGCTTGCATAGCATGTGTGAGGCACTGAGTTGGATCCCTGACACCACATAAAAATAAACAAATAAAATACAGGTATTGTGTCCATCCACAACTGAAAAATAACTAAAAAAAAAAAAAAAAAAAGGCAGAAAAGGGCCAGAAGGAAAGCCAGTAATCCAAACTATATTTCAGCATATGGCTTCATGAAAGTATCTGAGTCCCACATACAGAATCCTCAAAGCAGGTTTTACAGGACAGGTGAAGGGGCAGGAAGGAATAAGGGGAACAATTCCCTCTCCTGAGAGTCTCTGTTCACACTCACCATCATAAACACAAAGCATATGGTCATGAGAAGTGTAGCCACAGACACCACGCTCTGACCGGCTGCGATGGCAAGTCCCATAGAACTGGCTGAATAAGCCACCATCATAAGGGTTAACATCATGATGAAGAAAGCGTCTGCCTGTGGTTTCAATCCTGAAAGAAAAGAAGGGGTCATTGAGGCTGCCTAGGCCACTGTGTAGCTGGGGTGGTTCATTGTGCAAACAGACTTTAACATCGGAGCAAAAAATGTTATATATGATTCAATTTTATTCTTTCCCTCCATGTAAGTGCATAAAGTTATCATACAGATTGCTTTTACATTTACTACATAACACTATCCCATATAACTAATACCTGTGCTCCCTTATACATAATTATGAGCAATTTCTGAGTTGCTGAATTAAACAAGTATAGGCAGCACAATTGGCCAAATTCTCCTGCCTTCTCCTGTCACAGGAAACTCATCAAGAGCACACTCTCATACCCACATACCCACATTACTCACTGTCGGCTACAACTGCATTACTGAAGAAGCCAGGATCAGGATTCATGACCTCAAAGTGGTTTTTATATCTAGGGGAGGGGAGGTGTCTCTATAACCTGACTCCCCCTCAACAAATCACCACATAGCTCTGTGATTAAGAACAGGACTAATTTTGGATTCTGAAACTATTTTATAAACTATTATGAGGTAATGCTCTGGGTCATGCAGTCTGAAGATTTTGGAACAGCCATAAGAACACCTACTAGGAACCTGAGGGTCTAAACTCTATGACCAACTTTTTACAACACACCTGCTATGTGTAAAATGGAAGGGTTACACTTAAATGATGGTTTTATTATATAGCACTTTGTCTAAAATACATATTTCTTGTGTGTGTATATGTGCCTATTAGTGAAATATATGGGAATTCTGATGTAATGAATCTGGTGCGAAGTGTGAGCATAATGTAAAATGAATGTCTGTATCTATCAAACAAGTATGTTTTATTAAATCATTAAACCCCCAAAGTCACCATTCTCCTCTGATTAGAGAATGGGTGGGGGAGAATATATATGTATATTTTAATATTTTTTACCTCTGTCTAGATCACTCTATATATTTCTACAAAAAGATATAGATAGTAATAAAATATATGTAGATAAATTGGTTTCATCTACATCCAAGACTGAAAACACACCCTTTTTGTCTTGTTACTTACCTATCATGAAGTACAGTATACAAGTAAATATGACACTTGGCAAAAACCTCATGGGTAATAAATCAGAAAGCAATTTTCCAAAGAAGTAAGATGACACTCTGTAATATCCACTGATGTACTCGTGTCTACAGAACAGAAAAACACACCACATATCCCAGATTAGTCTGAGAAGGCACAGCCCAGATGAGATGCTGCTGTGCAGACTCCTGCTGCCATCAGATCTGACACTGCAGCTGCCCACAGGCTCCAGGCTGACTCCCCACACCCTTCTCCTCCTCAGATGCAGCTTCCCTGGGGAATCAGCCCCCCAAGGCTCTTGCTGGGACCCTCTCATGACAGCAGCCCTCCAGCTGCAGCCACTCTAGCCCACATCACCACTCCAGGGACACAGTCTGCATCCTCTCACTCTCCTTAGAGACTCTGCTGCTCCTCTGAGGCTGGCTCTGCCTGAACAGCAGCACTTGAGGGGCTAATCTCAGTGTAACAGGGGCTTTTCTTCTCCCTACTTCTGAGTGTGAAGAATGTGACATTGATATTCTCCAAGGCCCCAATGCTACAGCAGATCCCTAAACTCTACTTCTGCTACTCTCATGTTAAAAAAAAGAAAAAAAAAATGCTTCTTTTAATGATCACATCTCCACTTATAGTCCTGTCATCTACTAAGCCCTCATCTTTCTTCTTGTTGACATGTTTCCCCATAATTCCAAACTCTTCCACTGGGGTCTTTATCCCTTCCCTTTCTGATGATTCCTCTCCTTGGCATGTCAATATGAGCAAATCCCTTCCATCTTTGGAAAACAGAGACAAACCCAGTCTGCTCTTTACTGCAAGGCTGCCCTTTGGCTCTCTCCACTCCCCCATTCACTGAGGGACTACACTTGGTCACATTCTTTGTCAGCTTTACCTCCTACCTCCAATTTGCTGCTTAACCCACCTCTTAATCTCTACCAAAGCCTCTCAAACTTTTCTTGCAAGGGTTACTATAACCTACTATTTTGTTAAAAAATAAAAGTTAATTTTCAGTTCCTTTGTTGCTTGCTTTCTCTGGACCACTGGGATTTGCTGACCATAACCTAAGCCTAAAATTACCTTTTCCCTTGCTAGCAGGCCCCACACACTTGATTTTCTATTTCACCTCTGACTGCTTTTTCTCAGTTAATATTAGTAATCCCCAATCATATTTCAAAAGTTCACGTTATACACTATAAATGTATATAATTTATATTTTGTCAATTTAAAGAAATAAGTAAAGGAGAAGAAAACCACTCATAATCCTGAGGATCGCATCTTTGGCTCAATTCCAGATATGATCAACCAAGGCCCCTTCCCTGAATGGAGACCTACTCACATAAAGAGCTTCTTCTCCACCACAAAGAGCTCCACGGCCGACACGCTGCTGAAACACTGGTTGGTCGTCAGGAAGAAGAGCACCCCTGCTCTGCCAGGACAGAATGGAACAAAAGCACCTCAGCTGACTCAACACTCTTGGTTGGTTTTCTATCCACAGAAGTTCTCCCACAAATGATACAACATTAAACAGATTTTAAGAAGGAAAAAAGAAACAAGAATCGTTCTGGTTAAAACAAAGAAGGAAGCATGACCCCATGAGGCCCCTTGAGGTCTCTCTGTCTCCGTATTCTAGCATATTCTGAAATTCACATTCTTAAGCTGCTGTCTACTGAACTGGGTTCCCCTTAAATTCCTACGTTGAAGCCCAGAACCTCCAGTGTGCTGATGCTTAAAGATGGGACCTTCGGGAAGTAACAGGGCTTAGATGAGGTCATGAGTGGAGCCCCATGATGGAATTCATGCTCTCATAAGAGGAAGAAGCACCAGACAGATTTTTCTCTGCCATGAGAGGGTGCAGAGTGAAGGTGGACATCTGCAAGCCAGGAAAGCACCCTCACAACAGCCTGACCTGCTGGAACAGATCCCAGACTTTAGAATTCCAGACTCTAGAACAGAGAGAAAATAAATGTGTGTTGTTTAAGCCAGAGCCTGTGGTATTTTGTCATGGCAGCCCAAGCTAATATATGTCATAAAAATATTATCACCTTCAATTTAACCAACTAAAATGCCAATTGTTGTATTCCTATTGTATAAACAGAGAAACAGTAATCTGAATAAAAAAAACTAAACAGGTTAAAAGATTCAATTAACCACTTTGGTTCTGAAGTTGAATAAAGAAGAAGGTAAGACATGTGGAAGGAAAATGCCAGACAGTGGAGGGAACCTGTACTCAGACACCCACCTTATGAATGAGACTTAATGCTTATTTCCCAGTAAAATAACTGAGGTTTAAAAAGCAAAGTGCTCAGCTAACCTACATTTCAGTGAAAACATGGGTTTTATGAGAGCACACCAACATCCTTCGAAAAAAAGGCAAAGGCTTCCCTTTGTAACCGAACAATTTAATTGACATGGAGGATGTTAGCTGAAACAGAAAAAGAGATGATGTGGTGCAACATTTAAGTGACAGAAAAACAAAAGAACACACCAGTGAACAGCTCCAACTAACACCAGTGAACAGCTCCAACTAACTTAAAGGAAAAATAAGAATCCCTAGAAAATTCTTTTTAAGACCTATAGAATGAAGAACTGAGCATACAGGCTGTTTAAAATGTAAATGTTTGTACAATAATTAAAATGAATGGAAAACATCCAGGCCTAGTAGAGAAGCAGCTAATAACTTACCATCAGGAATAAACTTAATATAAAGTAAAAACCTAATTTCAGAAACATGGGACATAGCAATGATTCAGTTCAATTTATCATCTTACATCTAATAATAAAGTAATGTTCATGGTTCTGCAAAAATTAGAGAAATTCCTTCTAAATCAAAAGATGACTTCTTTAAAACTGAATACATTTTTATTATTAAACAATTTAATGCATTCTAATTCTTTTTATGGTGGTAAGCCACATCTGTCTCATATATATAATTTTTTTATAGTGAAAACATTTAAAATTTATTTTCAGGAATTTCAAAATATACATTACTATTTACTATACTTACCACACTGTGCAATATTATCTCAAAGGGAAAAAAAGGTATTCTTCCCATCTGAGACTTTGCACCCTATGATCATCATCTTCTCACTCCTCTAATCTGTGGCAACTACCATTCTACTCTCTGCTTCTGATTGTTTTAAACTCTTCATATGAGTGAGCACATGTGGCTTTTGTCTCTTTTTATCTGAATTATTTTACTTAGCACAAGGTTCTCCAATTTCATCAACACCATCACAAATGACAGCATTTCTTTTTTACGGTTGAACAGTATTCCACTGTGTACCCACATTTTTCTTATCCATTCATCTGCTAATGGACTCTGATTCCTTACTTTGGTTATTGTGAATAGTCCTACAATGAACACAGGAGTGCAGATATTTCTTCAGCAAACCGATTTCAAATACTTTGCATAAATACCCAGAAGTGAGATTAGTGAATCTAATACATTTTTAAAATACCTTTTTCCTTATTCATTTAGTTATCACCACAACTCTATAAGGCTATTAAGTCAAAGGAGCTCACACTCTACACAGGATTCAAACCCAGTGTCTCAGTTACACAGGTTAGAGAAAGTATAAAGATAGTACTTGACCACAAAAAAAGAGAACTAAACTCTTGGCCTCCCTAGCAATTTCAACTGATGAAACACTGATATTTATCCCTGAAGAAAGCTCTAACAACCTGGTTCCAGAGATGACACTGAGACTCCCCCACACACACCGCACCTAATCAAAAGAATTAATCACTGATCAATCATCCCAGGAGGGATTAGATAAACTACACACATGGGCCACTTTCATTTAGTCCAAATTCTTATTAAAAATGGTAGCAATTTTAAGTAAAAAAAATACGAATTAATATAATTTCTCCAGAAGACACCTGGAGAAAAAGCTAAAGTTCTTCTTTATTTCTTTGGATCTTTTTACCAACACCATTAATGTCTAGCTTTCCAGTTCATCTTTATAATTCCAATTAAGTACAGGTTTGTCAACAATTTTTCCAAAGACTTCATGCTACACAACAAAAAAAGCCCAGAGCTCCTAGATTCTAGAACAGAGATATGCTGTTCTAGGATAACACAACCTGCACGAACCATCCATTTCTAGCAAGTATGGAAACAATCCAGAGATCCCAACCCTCAGGGAAGATAAAAAGATAAGCAATGACCTAATTCTGAAAACAGCTGCAAAAATCATCTCATTGTAGACTAACACTACTTGATTATCTGAGGGAAATCTACTTTTATCCTTATTCTTTCTTTCAAAACTAATCAGTCTTTTCCATACATCAACATATGTTCAACATAAGCATCTTCAACCATCCTCAACAGTAAAATAAGGATAATACCATATGCCATCTTTGATCTCTGGAAGGTCACATAAGCTTGTGGGTGTCAAGGAGAGCCCAGTGCCTAGCAAAGTGACAAGAACTCTGAGGTCTGTGATGCAGCACAACACCTATATTCAGAACATGATACAGGCACTACAAGGTCTCACTGTAAAGCCAGGTGCCGTGGTATAAGCCTACAGTCTCAACTACTTGGAAGACTGAGGCAGAAGCAGGAGGATCACTTGAGCCCAGGAATTCAAGGCCAGCCTGGACAACATAGAGACCTCATCTCAAAAATAAATGAAAAATTAACAAATAAATGAATCTCATCATGGATCAAGATTCTTACGGGTACATTATAACTGAAACTAGGTCTGAGTCATAACACTAACATAACCATTATTCAGTTAGGAAAAGCTGAGTCCCACTAGCTTATCTTACCCTCAAGTCAAACAAATCCCAAACAGTGAAAATTGGCTAACTTGCAGCAGAAAAATAGATAAACTGAATTATACCAAAGTTGAATACACTTGTACATCAAAGGACATCATAAATACAGTTAAATAAAAACCCACAGAATTAGAGAAAATGTTTGGAAATTATACATCTGAGAAGGAATTAATCTCAGAAATATAAAGAGCTCCTACAATTCAACAACAACAAAACAAATTTAAAATGGGCAAAGAATTTGAATAGGCATTTCTCAAAAGATCCAGTAGATCTTTATTGTATATTTTTAAAAAGAATAAATACTAAGTGTTGGGGAAGATGTGGAGAAACTGAAACTCTGTGTACTGCTGATAATGGAAAATGGTATAGTTGCAGACAGAATGGCAGGTCCTCAAAAAATTAACACAATTACCATATGACACAGCCATTCTGCTTCTGGCAACATGCCCAACAACTGAAAACAGGGATTCAGACAGATACTTACATACTCATAACAGCATTATTCACAACAACCAAAAGAAGGAAGCAACCCATATATTCATCAATGGATGAATGGATAAATGAAATGGTATGTGGTATGTGTGGGGGTAATGGACTATGCACCTTAAAATAGAAATGCTACAACACAGATGAACCATGAAGACATTATGTTAAGGGAAATAAGTCAGTTACCAAAGGACAAGTACTTAGGACTCCGTGTACATGAAGTTCCTAGAGTAGTCAAATTCAGAAACACAAAGAATGGTGTTTGCCACGAGTTGGGAGAAGTAGCTATGAGGAGCTGTTGCTTAATGGGTATGTCAATTCCATTTGGGAAGATTTAAAAAAGAGTTCCTGGAGTAGGATGGTGGTGACTTTTGAACAATCATGTCAATATACTTAAAGCTACTTAACTATATACTATGATGGTTAAAAAGGCAAATTTTATGTTCTGTATCAAAAGAGACATAAATATGTGTTTGTGCATGTGAAAAACAAAAGTAACTCTTCCATTCAGTTTTCAATTCACTCATTCACCCAACCCCAAAAGACAATAGTGCCATTTAGGCTGTACTTGTCTTAAATTCAAATTCTTAATGGATGTTCATGAATTGAACAAAGTAATAGCATTTTTATTTTAAATCAAGATCCAGATTTACTTACCTATTCTGAATTCCACTATAATCATTGCTTAGCCCGAAGTAAATTGCACCTATAACCAGTGCCAATACGATTGTGACAGCAACCTTTTCAAAAAGAAGAATGAAAACAAACGAACAACAAAAAAAAAGAGTTCTGAGTAGAGGTAACAATTTTAACATCATTCATTTTCACACAATACATGGCAATATAATCAGATCTCTCCATTGAGATAAACATTTTTAATGCTTTGACCACAGTCCCTGGGAGAATATAAAGCAGTATATGTTATTAGACTGCTTTCTAAACAACCAGCAAATCAAGGTATTTGTTGTTTGGAGAACTGACAGAACAACAAAGCAGATGACTGCCAGTTCCGGGTCCAGCTCAGGTGCTGAACTGACAAATGCCACACAGGAAGCAAAGTGATGCAAACACCTAATTAGGTCATTTGGGAAATAAAACCAAATCTAAGTGGCCTGGAGTTTGGGCCTGAACTTTCAACCTTTGTGTCAGTGAACATGCAGTTTCATACTTCAAGACAGTAAAATGAAAACAGGATGTCTTTACTCTTAACAATAAAAATAAACAAAAATTTTAAAGCACACACACAAATTCAAACAATGGAATTTTGCACGATAAAGGAAGTAGGTGTGAGCTGGACTCCACCTCTCCAAGGCCTGGGGAGTCAGAGTCTGCATGGGAAAGTGCATTGTCACTGTCACCAAAGCACTCAGCCAGCTCTCTCTGGGAGCACCCAAGTATTTCCATTACCATCTCCTCTGTTACTGCTTCTCCTTCAACCTCAGTCACTGAAGCATTCAGTCAACATATCACACCTGAGCTGCCAAGACGTGATCATCCTCACCCATCTTCACCTACTCAGTCTACGTGGAGAGTTCCAAGGACACTGGACAAAGCACTTTGGGATTTAGGATAAAAATTCTTTTAAGGATGCTTCAACTAGCAAAGGATTAATTTTCCATTATTATATAATTTGTGTAAAGAATTCTATTTTATTATTATCATTCATAGGATAATAATAAAAATATAAGAAATGGTAATCTAAAGAAAACAAAATACCCTACCATGTGTCTAAGAAAATTCAAAGTTATTCAAAAATCTCAATGCTATAACAATATCAAGACATGAAGTACTTCGTGAAGGACATTTTTTTTGGCATGAAGCAAACAAAAGAAGAAAGACAGTCAGGGCTGGGATTGTGGCTCAGTGGCAGAGCGCTTGTCTCACGTGTATGATGCCCTGGGTTCAATCCTCAGCACCACATAAAAATAAAAAAATAAATAAAATTTAAAAAGACTCATAATCTGAAAAGGCCAGTCTGGAAAGAATATTATTTAAAGATATCCTTAAAAGTCTCCTCATTAATAAGACAGAAATTTAGGGGGAAAACATCCATTACCCTGTCATATTTTCAGTCTCCTCAGAATATACCCTATTTCATTAGAATAGATCAATTTTGCAAAATAAACACAGATAGCCCTATTAACATGCAGCATGCACTTGTATGTGAGATTCTGTACTTTCACACAGTATAAAAAGACTTAAGTCTTTTTCTTTGTCAGTCTTTCAAACTAGACACTCCATATTCTTTTGCATTCAAACTTGATATACACTAACATTGTCAGTATTATCATTAGGATGTTTTCTAAAGGCATCAAAGTTCAAAAACTCAGGCCAATTTTCTAACACACTGACAAAATATGAAACTATCCCATGTTCATATCATGCTTTTGCAAGGTGTGTCTCTTATTCTTCCTTGGATGAAAAAATTAAAAACACCAGGCAAACATTGCACAAAAAAAAAAAAAAAAAATGGTGCAAATGACCCTATTCCAAACTTTCCACATCTGACCTCTGTTCTGAACAGAAGGATAAAAAAAGAAATTCTCCAATGATGTTATTCTGTATCTGCTAAAAAATGTTTAACCAATATTTCTCAGGGTGTGTCCTAAGGGATATTTGTAACTATCACTAAAAAAAAAAAATGAACTCATAGTCAAATGTTTAATATGCTATAGAAATTATGATTCTTCAAGAGATCAATGAAAAAAGTCTTCCAAAGATCAGAAAACATTTGGCACATAAATGAATGTTAAATCTTTCTATATGGACAATCCACTGATTTCAAGGTCTTCCAAATATAACCTCTGGTTAAAGGCTAAGTCTGAATTATATAAATAAATAACTAGTTCAAACCAAAGTACAGCAATATGTCAATAAATACAAGATTTATGAGCCAAAAGTCATCAAACATTTTAACATTAAAAACTTAGAGAAATAAAAAAACACACAAGATTAAGGATGCTACATCAAGGATCAGTAAATTATAGTCCACAGACCAAATAGGGCCAGCCCCCCTATTTTTGTTAAGTCCACGAGCAAGAATTGTTTGGGTCAATTTGTAATAGTTGAGGGTGGGGGTAAGATAAGGAATATTTTTTGCAATACAAAATTCATGTGAAACTCAAACTTCAATGTCCATGAATAAAGTTTTATCAGAACACAGCCACATTCATTTGTTTATGTAGGAACCATGGCTGGTTCATGCTAAAATGACAAGGTTGAATACATTAGAAAAAGAGCATATATGGCCTGCAATTCTTAGGGCTTGCCTTCTACGCTAACACTCTAGTAGCGACAAACCTTAACAACGGTTGTCCCAGTAAGCTCCAGGAGCTATAAATATCTACCCTTATTCGAGAGACTGCGTGTCAGTGAACATGGCTAGAATTCCTTTTGTGGAACCCAGTTGACTGATGAGGCAAGTAGGCTGAACATGCAACCTGCAGGCTCTGGGCCTGCTGTCTGCACCTTACAGAAGCCAAGACCCAAAACAGGCACAATACAGATGCATTATAAATAGGTGTGTTCTAATTATGCCCTGCCCACAACTATTACATGTGTGTCTTGAACAAGACACTTATAAACCAATTTAGAGGCAAGTAAGAAAAACCTAATTCATAAATCACACTAAAGAATCAACTTATTTCATCATCTAACTGTTGAACAACGGGCCACCAAGGTTGATGGAGCTAACTGACCTGATATATTCCCAAATGACATCAAATCTATTACCAAAGAATAAAATGTTACTCTTGGTTGACAGGACACAAAAGAGCTTGTGTTCTGACAGGAATGCCAAATCACAAGAATCAAAAATGTTTGGAGCAATGGACAGACAGCACAGCTGAAATAAGGATGCAGGCTCTCAGATACACATAAGAGGCTCATGCTGAGAAGTCAGTATATTTCATTAGAGCGACAACATGCCACCTTTTCATACTTACCAGAAACTCAGTGACTGATAATGAAAACAGCAACTCCAAAACAACCAGATAACTGATTTTCTTAAAAATGATGAAGAAATGAACTGGGAATACTAGTTTTTTGTGTGTGACACAGGGTTAAGAATAATAGAAAAATATTACAGGGGTTAAGAATAACAGAGGGACTGTGGCTCAGTGGTAGTGCCCTTGCCTGGCATGCATGACGCACTGGGTTCAATTCTCAGCACCACATACAAATAAATAAAATAAAGGTCCACCAACAACTAAAAAAAAATTTTTTTTAAAGAATAATAGAAAAATATTACAGAGTGATAATCAATAACTACATTAGAGCCAACCAAAAGAAGAAAGAAAACATGATCTCACTGTTAAGAGAGCCTTATTAAGGATGGTTATTACCTGTGTAGAATAGGCAAACTCTCTGAACTATCTACTGCTTTCCAAAGATAAGAATTTCTCAATAAGGAAGGCCAATCATAAGGAACATCACTTTGCATACAGGCTCTTCCCTCAGATGGTGGACAGCCAGACAGACTTCAGGTGTTGAACAACCTCAGCACCTGATCTCAACTGTAAACCAATCCTATTCTCTGCACCTCCTTCTCTCTCCCTCCCTTTTCCACTCCTTCTCTGCTGAAATTTCTTCATAGGCCCATCTGACATGCTATATATTTTCTCTATTCAGTTATCATTATTCTGCTCTCATAGGAAAATAAGCTACAAGAGCAGAGACTTATTTTTATCCATATTGTCCACTACTATATTAGAGTCTTCAAAACACAAAACATGGCCTTGGGTTGAACTTTTGGAATCAATCAGTGAATGACAGTGCATAGCTACTAGCAAACCACATGTATGGCTCACATTGCCTTTACTTTATATTTAAAAAGAAAATTTCTACTAAGACTATCCATTATGGGTTGTTTAAACAACAAAAAATTCTGAGAGAGTAAATTTTTACTTGTTCTATTCACTATCTCTACATCTCAAATGGAGTGGTGGGGATGACAAGTCGATGGAGGGCTGGGTAGAAGATACACATATTCCTGAAGTGGACCACACCGAACCAAATAGCTCCCACCTGAGTACTTCACGGCACAGTGAAAACAATCTGTCAGGTTACCTGAGCTACAGAGGCCTGGGGATTACCCAGTAAATTTTTGAACGAACGCTTGGTAATCCATCTGAGCTGATGACAGAAGGAGGTGACATAGGTGATATCCTTAAAGGCTAAGCTCCTCTTCTTCTTTTGATCACTTGAGAGGTGATCTAACTCAGTTTTTGTGTCTTTGCAGAAGGAGGAATTGGTGTAGAACTCAGCTAATTTTTCTATGATTGGCTTTTCTTTCTTGGAAGTCTCTTCAGAGTTGTTTGCTTTAGAATAAAAGTGGACAAAGAAGGGAAATATTACTGACAGACAAAACTGATTTAACTCAATTTTCTGTGACCCCTTTTTGCACAGCTTCTTAATTCTAAAGGTTGAGTAATTAAAAGTTATTAGTTTTTGTCATTGCTTTACACATCAGAAAAACACAAGTAACTGAACTGGACAATGCCATGATCTTATGATACAACAAATTCAATGACCTTTGCCTATTTGGACTCTTGTTATTGTTGTCATGATTGTTTTGTTTTATTAGAGCTTTATAGTTAAACATAGTAGTTGGATTTATCCCAACAAAATCATATATGCATGGAATTGAATTTTGGTTCAATCCCGCCCCCCCCCCCCATTCTCCTTCCTCTACTCTATGGATCTTCCTTTCACTTCTCTATTTATTTTTAATTATTTTCTTCTACTTATACATAAAGGCAAAATTTCTTGTGGTTATTTATTCATGCACATAGCATAATTTTTAAAAGTTCATTCTGCATTTCCTCCCCTTTCCCATCCCTCCTCTCTCCCTCTAGATCTCCTTCTTCTTCTCTACTGATCTTCCCTGTAACTTTATGATATCCAATCCTTCTCGCCTTCTTTCCTTTATTTTGCTCTACTTTCCACATATTTGAGAGAAGATTCAAACCTTCGTTTTCTGAGTCTAGCTTATTTTACTTAGCATGATACTCTCTATTTCCATCCATTTACCAGAAAATGCCATAATTTCATCCTTCTTTAAGTAAAACTCCATGGTGAATATATATCAAAATTTCTTAATCCATTCATCTATGGATGGATATCTGGGTTGATTACATAATTTTGCTATTATGAATTGTGCTGCTATAAACATTGAGGTGGCTATATTGCTATCCTATGCTGCTTATAGTTCTTTTCAATAAATACCAAGGAATAGGATAGCTGGGTTATATGGTGGTTCCATTCCTAGTATTTTAAGGAATCTCCATACGACTTTCCAGTGAACTCTAATTTTTTTAAACAGACTTATCATACAGAGTTATAAATCTTTATATAAAAATCTGATTCTTGCTTTTTACTATGTGCCAATGCATAAAGTGTCAAGTTTCTATTTTAAAAATACCATACACAATGAAAATACTGACTTTTAGTGGAAACTACCCTTATAACAGTACCATACATGCATATAAAAACACCCACAGGACACAGCATCCACAAAGCCAGGTTTCAATGAGCCATCGCATTGTTGAACATCAGTCAAATCAATTAGGCAAAAATCCGTGAATCTAAGAGACACACATACCTTCAGAGTCTTCTACCTCTCTGTTTAATACCACAGCAGAAGAGTCTCCATTAATGACATCCAGAAAGAAATCTGCAGGGTTGTTATAGGGCTCACAACGGTAACCTATAAAAGAAAACACTCCAAAACTCAACCTCATAGTCTTAGGAAATAAGGAAGACTCATTTTCAGAGGGTGATGGAGGTGAGGAGAAAGGGAAGAGAAAATCTAACAGATTTCTCCTTCATCTTCTTGCTCTCTTTTCCCCTCACTGATTTATCCTCTTATATATTCAATCATAGTGTTTCAAAAACCCTGTCTCCCAGCAAAAAGCAAACAAAAACAATATTCCAAAGCAATTTTGGACTCTTCAAAACATCTTGTATTAGTCTTTACCTATCATAAATCCTGAAACCCAAAACAGCTATCACTAGTACTTATCATGACTTCTTCAAAAATCTAACTCTAAGTCCAAGAAAAAAAAAGTTAACTTCCTAGTACATTGTGCTGAGTTCACCTAGGGAATTTCAGACTGGAAGTGCACATGTCAGAAATGATTGCATCTACACCTTTTAAACTCAGAGGTCCAAATTATCACCTTTCAGGCTGCCATATTCCCAAATCCAGAACTCAAACAGCACTCCTATTGACCTCTCTGCTCTTCCTATGTCTGCTCTTCCTCGTCTAATGAATAAAGGAACTAGTGCATGAAAAGGTCGACCACACCTGCCGATTCGAAGTACCCCAAAGCCTCCTGTGCAGGACCATGGTACATGAGCTTTCCTGAGGCCAATAAGGTGAGGCTGTCAAACAGCTTGAAGATGGAGTAGCGAGGCTGATGAATGGAGAAGATGATTGTTCGTCCACGCTTAGACATCCTAAAAGAGGGACAATAAAGTATTGTTAAGCATCTAAACCTTGCACTTTTTATTTTATTTTTTTTTTTTTGGTATTGGGGATTGAACTCACGGGCACTCAACCACTGAGCCATATCCTCAGCCCTATTTTGTATTTTATTTAGAGACAGGGTTTCACCGAGTTGCTAAGTGCCTCACTGTTGCTGAGTCTGGCTTTGAACCTGTGATCCTCCTGACTCAGCCTCCCCAGCTGCTGGGATTACTGGTGTGCGCCATGGTGGCTGGCCTAAACCTTGCACTTCTTGGTAAAATACTTTTGTTTCTTTCCACTGTTACTTCCATTGATCCCAATTCAACATGATTTTTCTCTTACAAATGTCTCATCTCATCCTATATAACCAACTTGTTAGGAGGAGAAATTAAATTCAATTGCTTTCATGAAAAAATAAGGCAGTAGGGAGTGTAGTCCAGTAGTAGAAGTAGTAGAAGTATATATGTTTAACATATATAAGACCCTGCATTCAAAAGAAACAATAAGAGAGGTAAATAGGGAGCCTACATCCTGGGAACAAATCTTTACTCCTCACACTTCAGACAGAGCCCTAATATCCAGAGTATACAAAGAACTCCAAAAAATTAGACAATAAGAGAACAAACAACCCAATCAACAAATGGGCCAAGGACCTGAACAGACACTTCTCAGAGGAGGACATACAGTCAATCAACAAGTACATGAAAAAATGCTCACCATCTCTAGCAGTCAGAGAAATGCAAATCAAAACCACCCTAAGATACCATCTCACTCCAGTAAGATTGGCAGCCATTATGAAGTCAAACAACAACAAGTGCTGGCGAGGATGTGGGGAAAAGGGTACACTTGTACATTGCTGGTGGGACTGCAAATTGGTGCAGCCAATTTGGAAAGCACTATGGAGATTTCTTGGAAAGCTGGGAATGGAGCCACCATTTGACCCAGCTATTCCCCTTCTTGGTCTATTCCCTAAAGACCTAAAAAGAGCATGCTACAGGGACACTGCTACATCGATGTTCATAGCAGCACAATTCACAATAGCAAGACTGTGGAACCAACCTAGATGCCCTTCAATAGACAAATGGATAAAAAAAATGTGGCATTTATACACAATGGAGTATTACTCTGCATTAAAAAATGACAAAATCATAGAATTTGCAGGGAAATGGATGGCATTAGAGCAGATTATGCTAAGTGAAGCTAGCCAATCCCTAAAAAACAAATGCCAAATGTCTTCTTTGATATAAGGAGAGTAACTAAGAACAGAGTAGGGACGAAGAGCATGAGAAGAAGATTAACATTAAACTGGGATGAGAGGTGGGAGGGAAAGGGAGAGAGAAGGGAAATTGCATGGAAATGGAAGGAGACCCTCAGGGTTATACAAAATTTCATACAAGAGGAAGTGAGGGGAAAGGGGAAAATAATATAAGGGGGAGAAATGAATGACAGTAGAGGGGGTAGAGAGAGAAGAGGGGAGGGGAGGGGATGGGGGATAGTAGAGGATAGGAAAGGCAGCAGAACACAACAGACACTAGTATGGCAATATGTAAATCAATGGATGTGTAACTGATGTGATTCTGCAATGTATACGGGGTAAAAATGGGAGTTCATAACCCACCTGAATCAAAGTGTGAAATATGATATATCAAGAACTATGTAATGTTTTGAACAGCCAACAATAAAAAATTAAAAAAAAAAAAAAAAAGACCCTGCATTCAATCCTCGGGACAAAAAAAGAGCAAAACACAAAGTATTTTTTTGGTTTTTGCTTTTGTTTTTTGGTACCAGGGATTGAAACCAGGGCAGGCTTAATCACTGAGCAATATCCCCAGCCCTTTTAACTTTTTATTTAGAGACAGGCTCTCACTAAATTGCTTAGGGCCTTGCCAAATTGCTGAGGCTGGCTTTGAACTTGTGATCTTCCTGCCTCAGCCTCTCCAGCTGCTGGGATTATAGGTGTGTGCCACTGTGCCTGACCCAAAGTTTTAAAGTATGTTGCATCAACAGTCTGGAAGCCACTAGAATGTTTATTGACAAAGCAGGTTCCTGGACAGTCTTCCCAGACACTGAATTAGAATTTCTGCGAGGGGGCGGGAGGGGAAATGGTACTGGCAATCCATATTATTAAAAAGCACCCCCGGTATCTCTAAGTACACCCAAGTTTGAGAACTCATTATAGACTAAATATTAAAACAATGATTGTACACCCAGTTCTCATTGATCACTTAAGTCTTCTGGCTCTTTAAGAATTGGTTTTTACTATTCTGCCTGATGACACAGCTAACTTACTAAGCACTTGCCATGTCTTTGATAAATGCTTTAGTAATAATCTCGTTTCAATTTCATAATGGTATTATTATAAGGCAGTGCCCATATGATCATTTCCTTCTTTCTATAAATCAGGTATAAAGGTCAAGCAACTGGCCCAGGGGTCACAATTACTAAAAGGCAAGGCTGAGATTTGATCTCTGGTCTCATTCCATGGCAAAAACAGAAACTACCTTTCCAGGGAGTTATTTCATACAGACAGAGGAAACAAAGGCCAAAACCACTGTTTAAAACTGTCATTTAAAAAGGCTATGAGAAAAATCATTTCAAATTAAGCATTTGGTAAGCGTCAATGCTATGCTAGCGTGGGTCCAATATGCTAGCATATACAAGGGTGTTCTGCCTCAAAGAGAATCAGGACAGAGGATCAGTGATCTCTACAGGATGTGGAATGGAAATAGCTAAGGGTTCCTTGTACGCAAAACAGGAGACCTATAATCCAGTCTGAAAATAATGTAGGTAAAATATCAAAAGGCTCAACAGGAATGAGTGAAGAAGAAGATAGAAGAACAAGATGAATGAACACAGTATGAAATAAAAAGATCTATGCAGGGAACTATAAGAAGATCAATGTTACAAAGCAAGGAGTGTGCCTGCTAGGTGAAGAAGCTCACTAAAAAGACTACAGCAAAACAGGCCCATGATGAACCCTTCACTCAGAATCTGGGATTTTAGCGGGGAGACCACAGGGAACTGGTAATGAACTCAAAGCAAGAAGTGGAATTGCATGGAAGCTCTGACTCTCAAGTGTGGTGGCACAGTATCAGTATGATCCCTTAATCTCCTATGGAGAATCTCGGGCTCTACCTGGCACCTAAAGAAACAAAATCTGCATTCTAACCAGCTGCAGGTGATGAGCATGCAGAGCAGTGCTTGGGAAGGACTGATTAGAGCTCCCTGCATGGGACAGGGTGCCTGTGTGCTAAGCAGAGCAAATCACAAAACTAGGATATTCTGTACCAATTCATCAGTCTCTAATGAATACCCTTTACACAGTCTATAGACAAATAAAAATATCATAGATGTTTCTTCACATGGGCAACTGAAATCTCAGACTTAAGACACCTAAAATCTTATTATTTTCATTTCTTCTCTCTTAGCATAGAGACTTACTCAAGAGAGCGTGAGCAACATAAGTAGCAAGTTAGTGATAGGGAAAGTAATGAAGGTGGTGTCTGGAAGCTTAAAAACAAAGGCAAAGAGGTGTCCAGGGGTAGTGGACAAAGGGAGTGGTAAGATCTATTGGGAGACTGGTTCCATTAAACAATTAAATTACTTGTTTGAGTAAGTAAATGAATATTTGAGAAAATGGCAATCTCTCCCTGTCACTCACAAACATGGAAATGACAAAAAAAAAGTAACATGGAGGTTTTAGAATTAAAATATTATCATGAACTCATGTATACATGTATTTAACAGAATATGTATTTAATATACATACATCTGTAACTATTGCTTTTCTGTATCTTTACATTGTCTTTCTATAAAAAGACACATATATATATATTTATATTCAATATATTTCCAATTGAAAGTAGAAACATATGTCTACATTTACACACACACACACACACACACGTTTCCTAGGTTTGCCTACTAAAGGTCTAGAAGCATGCCACTCCAATAGCAGTGAGCACACTGAGCAACCAGATCATGGGTTCTAACTAACTACCCCAAAAGGAACCAGGATCCGTCCACAAATGGCTGAAAGGAGAAAAGTACAACATGATACAACATGAACATAGAACATCATAGTGATCATAAAGAAAAAAGAAATGCTGAAAGAACGATTAGGGAGAAGTTGAAAGAACACAAAAGTCACACTGAGTTGGCTTCCACTGGCCAAAATCAGGATCAATTTGATCATTAAAACAGTGAAGAATAACAGATTCCAACCTATCATATCACAGAAAATGAATAGGGAAGGAAGAAAACCTCTTCCTTAGATACAATGTCAACAATTACCTGTTAGAGCAGAGCAGAGTTATTGGTGTCTGCTAAAATTTGTGGGAGAGATGTTATGAGGGACACAGTCTTGGCATAATAGCTAATTATCTTCCCCAATAAAATACCAATATATTACAATGGGAAAAATAATAATTTCCCAGAAGGCAGCAACATGATCAGGGAATCAAACTGCATACCACCTGTGATGGGTCAGTCCTGGGTATGTGGCTGACAGCTCAGCATCAGTTCATGCCCAAGTCAGCTCATGGAACACTGGGACAGAACCAGCCAAGGGTCACGCCATGAAATGGACTATCAAAGACATGAGAGAAAGGGATAGACTGAGGAACTCTTGCATATTAGGAAAACAAAACAAGGAACAGGTAGAAAAGGTGTATGTCTGTAAACTTCTAAAGCAGAAAGAAAACAGACATGCTGCAGGGAGAGGTGGTGACATCTGACTGGAGTGAAAGGATTTGATAGTTGTGAAGCCATCATTGCTGACTTCCTAACTGGGAGGCTGATATGGTGGAGTGTCCTTGTCTCTTGGATTTTACACTGGGGAGTGTTAAGAGGAGACAGAGCATGATGTCAGAAAACAATTATGTAGAGGGAGCAGAGATGGAGGGAGGGCAGCAAATGCAAGAAAATGTAGCAGCTGGGGAGTCTAGGTGGGGGGTAGGGATTTTCTTTGCACTATTCTTGGAGCCTTCCTGTCAGTTTGAAATTATTTTCTATTCATTTTGAAGAATATGTCCAGCTAGGTGCAGATGCTCCCCTGAAACTCCAGAAACTTGAGAGGCGGAGGCAGGAGGATTGCATGTTCCAGGCCAGTCTCAGCCATTCAGTGAGGCACTAAGCAACTTAGTGAGACCCTATCTCAAAATAAAAAAATAAAAAGGGCTGAGGATATAGCTCAGGGGTAAAGTGCCCTTGGGTTCAATTGCCATTACCAAGGGGAAAAAGAAAAGAATATGTCCCAAATTTAACTTTTAACACTGCTCCTGTAAATGTTTTTCCAGTCTCCTTTCTAGATAAAAGGCAATGCCATCTTTTTAACTTCTTTCTTCCATTTGTTCCAGCCCCAAATCTCAGGAGTCATTCCTCACATGCTAGGTCTACTTCCTGAACACTTTATCCCATTATCCTCGTTCTCTTGGTTCAAAACACACGGAGAACCCATGCTCTTCTCACCGCCTCACCATGAACATCCTAATCCAGGCCCCGTCCTGCCTCAGCAGTTCCTTGCTGCTGCCCTTCACTCACCCAATGCCCAACTATACAGCCCTCCCCACACCATCACTCTGTTCTGACACCCACAAAATGCTCCCAAATCCCCAAGTGACAAAAGAAGCCATATTTCTTAGAGTGGCCTCTGAGCTCTGTGTAACCTGCCACCAGGTTCCACCTCACATTATATTCTGTTATAGGCTGAACTATGGCTTCCCAAAAACCTGTAACCTCAGAATGTGGCCAGTGAGTCTTCAAAGAGGTCAGTAAGATTAAATGAGGTCATTGAGGTTCCTCATCTGACTGTGTCCAGTTAAGAAGAGATTAGGACACAGACACAGAGGGAGAAGATGGTCATCTAGAAGCCAATAAGAGAGGCCTCAAAAGAAACAACCCTGTGGATACCTTGATCTCAACTTCTAGCCTCCAGAGCTGGAAGAAAAGTAATTTCTGTTGTTGAGCCTCCAGTCTGTGGTCTTGTTAATAACTATACAGCAGGCAACTTCCTCTCCAATTAGTCACTGGGTTCTGTCCCTCTGGTCTCTCTGATGTTCACACACATAAGGCATGCTGTGACTTGGGGCCACTGACCACTCCTTCCAACCAGAACTCTTCTGCAGATACAGCAGGTCTCACTACATCTCTCTCGTTCACCACGGGTCATGTGCTTGTGGTCTTTCCTGTTGCTACTTAAAAGAGCTTCACGCACCCACCACAGCCATCATTCCTTAAGCTCTTATTTCATCTTTCTTAATAACACTACTTTGTTCATTGACAATTTCCTTCTAACAGAGAAGGAAAAAATTCTGAATCCCCTTCACCAAGAATACCTGCTACACAGAAGTGATTAAATATTAAATAAATGAAAGAACAGTGTTCCCATAGCATTTACCTTTTTAGGAGCAAAAGGACAGCATTTGCTGTGCTCGAATCTAAACCAGTTGTGGGCTCATCCAAAAACAAGATGGAAGGATCAGTAATCAACTCCATTGCTATACTGGTCCTTTTTCTTTCTCCTCCAGAGACACCACGGATAAATTGAGTTCCAACCTAAAACACAGATTATCGCCATTATTAATAAGAATAACCATGGTCACTCCCATTTGGTGAACTAATTTGTGCCAGCCCTACTAGAGACACTTTATCCCATTATCCTCATTAATCTGGACAGCAAAGTATATGGACACCTGGGAGATGGAATAGGTTTCTGAGTAAACTAAGGCTCAGGGAAGAGCTGCTAGGTGCAATATGAAGCCCATTCTCTGAATAGTTCTAAATGTTCCTCACCAAGTCAGATGTTTAGTTTTAAGCCAATAAGTTAGAACACTAAAAATATGACTCTGACATAGTAATATCACAGTTTAAAACAGGAGATAAAGATAGGAGAGGAAAAGGGAAAGCATCTCAAGTATTTTATTGTCTTCTAACAACACCCACACACACTGCCTCCACCTAAAGTCTCCAAAAACAGAGCAGGCTTGGAAACAGGAAAGTTCACTTTTTACCATAGCACATGAGCATTTTTTCAAATTCCATAACACTCTCCAAATGGATACTATCTATACCTTAAAACACCAGAGAATTCCTGATTCATCATTTAGACAAATCCAGAAGGCATATTCCACAGGGCAACTAGCTCCATCTTTTCAACAAGAAAATGTTTAGGAAGGGGAGTGTAAAGGTTTGGGAGACAGCAAGTAGAAAACAATTCTGAAATTAAGAGTCTCCAAAGAGATAATAATCAAGTGCTATCATGGCCCTGGACTGAGTCCTATTAACTGAACTAAAAAAGACATTTTGACAATTTGAGGAACGTGAATGAATATGGGCTTAACATAGCTGATGATATGAAGATACTGTTCATTCTGTTAGTTGATAATGGTATTGTGGTAAGGTCAGGAAATGTCCTTTTTGAATTATTTTTTTGTTTGGTTTGTTGTTTTGGTTTTCATCGGGAAAGAACCCAGAGTCTCACACGTTATAAGAACACATAACACCACTGAGCTACACCTCCAACCTCATATTCTTACAGATGCATAAATAGTATTCAGGGGCAAAATATTATATAACTTTCTTTAAAATACCTCAGTAAGAAATAGCTGTAGATGCACCAATTAAAAAATGAAAAGAGAAATTGTAGAAATGATGGGGTAAAATATTAAGAGAACATTAGATTGGATACAGAGAAAGGATGGGAGAGGAGGGGAGGAGTAGGGAGGGCAGGAAGGGCAGCAGAATAGAATAGACAATATGATTGATGTATGTACATTCCATGTATGTATTATATGTTAAAATGCATTCTACTGTCATGTATGACTAAAAAAATAAATAAAAATTAAAAAAAAATAAAATTAAAAAAAAATATTAAGAGAGAAATCTAGGTGAAAAATATTAGGAATTAAACTATAATATTAATCATCTTACAACATGTCATTATAGTAATCAGATTATTTTCTCTATATTTCTGTTACGTATAAAATTCCATAAAAAGTCAAAAATTTTGATCAACAGGATTACAGGAATTCTAAGAAGTCAACAGCTGGTTTTATATATGGTCTGGAAATCTAAACAAGCAAGTTCAGGCAGTGAGTGCTTAAAGATTAAGAACAGGCCTGGGGTGCAGCTCAAGCGTAGAGCACTTGCCTAGCATAAGAGTCCTGACATGCACTGAGAAAAATAAAATGGTAACAGAGTAAAAGAAAGTGCCTAACTGAAATGACAAAAAATCAAATAAATAGAGATAAAGCAAAGAAAACATCACTCGGGGTGGGGGGAGTGGTAAATGATGGTATCACAGGATTATTCTTCCAAACAAAATATACTTTACATAAAGATTGCAAGAAAGTATAGGAAGCAGTGGGGGTGGGGAGGAGGGTGTCTTCCCAATGTCCAAGAAGATGACAAGGATTCAGTATAGCTGTACATTCTAAACGGCTCCTAATCCCCCAAAATGCCAAATATCTGCTCAATAAAGCTTCCTTACTGACTAGTCAATTGTAAAGTTCACTTGTTCCTTTCATTTTCTCTTCTTGATCCTGCACAACCCACCAAAGGGGGAGTTATTCTGTCCATTCTTTGTTACTTCTGACCACAACTGTACCTCTCAAACCTAAAAGAGTCTGGCATGTAAGAGTGTGGAAATAAATATTGGCAACAGAAAGGGAAGAAGAGAGAAAGGGAAGGAGGGGATGAGAGAAAAAACTGCCAAAGAAATGCTATAGAAAAATAACTTGGTCACTACACAAATGATAATTCCTAATGTGACTGAATATAGTTATGAAAACCAAATTATACCAAAGTGGAACAGCAATAACCCTTGGATTCTCATCATTTATCAATTCCAAAAATATACCTCAAAAAAGCAATGGAACAAAGTCCCCTGGAGGAAGAGAGGGAGAAGAACAGCTAAAAGAGGGAAGAGAAAAACAGGAAGAAAAAAGTTAGTGCAAAGGCATCAAATGAGCCATGGCTTGACAATGAGGGTGGAGGTCCATGGAGAAGGCCGTGCGAGGGGCACTCTCCACACAGGCCACATTCCATCCCGGGATCCAATCATCATTAAGATCATTTCTCCACTTAATTTCCCCGTATATTGTCACCCATTCTCAGCATTACAGAAAGCAGCCACTGTTGACCACACACACCTTAGAAAACTTCTGATTAAGGTCACATTGTCCACACAGGGAGGTCCTCTTTCCTACCTATGACTCTATCAGGTTTTTTCACATTACCTTGGAATCTGCCACTTTACTCAGACCTAACTCTTCAATGACCTTGTTGATCCTCTCATTTTTTTCATGATTTGTCGTAGTTGTTGGAAGCCGAAGAGCCGCTGAGAACTGCAAGTTTTCTCTCACTGTCAGGGTGCCCATCACAACATCATCCTGAAGGGAAAAACAGGATTTCAATGAAACTTTTCTACGACATTGAGTCTAAAAGCATCACTCTAGTGTATTTAACTTAATCCATGAAAACAATATACCCAAGGTAAGTTCTAGCTAACGATAAACATTCAACTCTACAAACTTCAGTGACTCCACATACAGACAGCCTCAGCTCCCACAGGAAAAATTTTTGTGCTTCCTCTGTACACCCAGATGAAGCAGGGTGATCATGAAGACTATAACCAGACACTTCCTGACTGCTTTGTAAGAGGATGTGACAAACTTGTCTTTTATGAGAAGGAAAAATGTGCAAGAAGAGCAAAAAGGACAACAGTAGACTCTTTAAGAAATGGTAAAACTGGTAGACTTCATGGCACTGCACTACAGGGATCCTATTCCAGGTACTCTCTGCCTTTCCATTTAAACCCACCCTGAATCTTAAGGAAGGCTGGTTCCATGTCAATTGGTTCCATGTTATATAATCAGCTGGAAGCACACTACACTAAAAGGCATTTGCCCATACAGAAACAGAGGAACCACAACAGGTGAAATCACTAATACTTACTTGTACCACATAACCTGAATTACATTTGAAATTGGCAGGTTGAGGAGCTCCATTTACCAAAACATCTCCAGATAATCCATGTGGATCTTTCCTTGCAGCTAAAACATCTAGCAATCTGTAAAAGGACATATATGTAGTAATTTTTTTCCCCTCAAAAACAGGTCTTCTCTCTCTGCTACTTTGAATCCAAATTCGACTCAAGTTAAAAAGTTAACTAGTCAAATGATCTATGATTTAACCCAAATAATTCATTTATATGTATTTAAAGCACACACACCTGTATATATGTGTTTATATTTATTCAAATTCTCACCTTCCTTTTCATTATGTAATAAGAAAGCTCAAAAATATAACAGGAAAACAACATTGGCTTATCTAGCATTAACCTCCCAAATGACCTCTGGCTGACTGACCTTGGTGGTCCCAACCCAGAAAATATGCTTCTTTTCCTGAGATTCATGTCTTCAATTACACCTTCTGCTCCATCTCCCCTTCTTATTCCTTCCCATTAGGTCATAATATAGCCCACTGCTGTATGTCAATCACTTTATCATGCCATATTAATAAACCTGAGCTAATAAGACTTCCTTGGGATAAAACCATAAGCTAGCCTAACTATATGTTATCTACAGAACCTAAGAACCAGACTGGGCATATACAGCAAATGCTTAATACCCACATAAAAGTGATTTTTTAAAGCACACTAAAATTTCACAGAATATGTCTACTTAAACTTTCTGTTATACTTACGAAGATTTGCCTCCACCCGTGGGTCCCAGAATGGCATTAAGACCAGGTTTCATGATCCCACTGTAAACACAGAAACATACTGAATTACTGTTCCACTTTAAACAAAGTTCTACTAGTTTGTGGTCTACATGGAATATACTCAATGAAGTATGATGAAACTGCAGACTGAAAACAAGAACTAATTCAAAGAGAAAAAAAAAATGAATTATTGATTAATAGAAGCCTAGTATGTAGAGGATGTCAATCACTAGTCAGGATCAATAATAAAGATGGCTCAGGTGCCTAAACATTCCTTTGATCCACTCATCCCTTTTGGAAAATGATATATCTAATGTTCAAGGATCCTTGAAATTAGCCTGGAAATATAGCTCAGTGGAAGAGCCAGTGCTTAGCATGCAGGAGCCCTGGGTTCCATCCCCAGAAAGAACAACAAAAATTTCTTGAAATAAGAAACAGAGTTTCATGAATCCTCCCCCTTAACACACTGTAAAACATGACAGCTTCTGAGAAATGTCTGATAATTAGTATCTTCAAACAGCCTCACTTGCAACCCAGTCAAGTTAAGTAATCACAGATTGGTAGAATATCAGTAGTAGTGCTTGCGCTACTAAAATCTAATCAGATCAAAAAACATCTAAAGTAGAAATCCAAAGCCTAGAAGGAAGCACTCCAGAGGATAAGAAAGTATCACCAGTGCTTAAGACAAGAAAAACATCACCAGTTAGAAAAAGCAAAATGTGCTTAGTAAAATTAGATAATTCCCTTCCTTGTTAAGTGTCCAAGAGTGGACAGGAAAATGATCAGTTTACAATTGGGAGACATCACTCCAGTAGGGGATGTCCTTTAAGGATGAGCAGGGCCAGAACAGACACCAATTTTCAAACAAAATAGGATGTGTGAGAGTAGTGAATATACACACAGAGCAGAAAGGCGGAAAAAATCATAGCAGAGCTACTGCAGGTATATGGGCATGAATAAATAGAGGCCACACTTGGTCCATTCAGAACCTTAGTATCCTCACCCAGTCTATCTTTAGGATTTGTAAATAGGTCCAGATATATTCCACAGATTATCAAGTCCAAGAGCAAGATCAAAGCTGACAACAATTCATTCTCAGATTAATAATTCCCAAGAGGTCAATCCTACAATTACACAACTGTCATCAGTAATGAACTTCCCAATACAACTTCATCATGGCTCTTATATCCAAGAGGACCTCAGCATTCACAGCCTGTGACACCTGATCAATTTCATAACTGTACCATAGCCACTGGGAACTGAGGTGAAATGTATCTTTCACTTTGCTCATTAACTGAGGAAACTCTCACTCAAACATCAGACGAAGACAGTGAGAAGCTGGTAAACCTGGAGTAAACCATAACAGAAAAATCTCTTATTCTTCTGATGGCCTTTCCCCCATTCGGTGTAAAAACACACTCAGGATAGGGTTAACTTTCAAGGTGCATTTATCTTTAGTACTGGTGCATCTTCTTTATTAATAGCTACCAAGTACCTACTTATGAAATGACCAGAAACAAGCTTGTGATTCACTCAGGTTTTACTGCCAGAAAAGCCTTCCACATTTTTAAAATACCTACTCAAGGGAGGGAAAAGGGGGGATCATGTTCCAAATGAATTCCATGCATGTATGAGTTTTTCAGGATGAACCCAACTGCTATGTATAACTATAAAATTCTACTAAAAATAAAATACCTATTCAAGTAAAACAGATATTTTATATAAAGTAAACCAAGCCATCCTGAATGATTCTACCACAAACTTAATGTGCATGTATTAAGACAAAGAATTTTACAGTTTCCTGTTTTGGGCTTATTTTGACAGAAAACAACAAAAATGTATGATCACAAATACAAGAGTTCCAATCTGGAGCAGTAGCCTATTCTACCCCCATCTACTTAGCACAATTATTAAATGTCTATACTCTTCCAGATCTAGGAATGTAGTCCAGTGATTAAGAGTACTTGCCTAGCAAGTAGGAGCCCCAGGGTTCAATTCCCTGCATGGGAGAGAGCCCAGAACAAAACAAGCAGATAAACAAGTGAAAAAACAAAAACCCTAGCCCTCCTGGAGTTTACATTCCAGTCCAGGGATCAGCACAGTGTAGCTGGTTGTTCTCTGTTTTCAAAAACAATATAATTGGAACAGAGCCATGTTATTTTAGTTGTGCAGCGTATAGCAATTTTTGTGCTACAAACGGCCCATAAAAATTGAAGAATTTATGATCTGGTCCTTTACAGGAAGAGTCTGCTGACTCCTGTTCTAGTCTATGGTCCACAATTCCTTGGTCTCCCCACCCTCCCCTCCACCCATCTATCATCTCTCACAAGCCATTGCCCCCTTATTTATTGCTTTACAGCATTTGTGTGCAAAGTGCTGTGTTATTACATTGGTAAAACCTTGTCAACAAGAACTGTATGGTAATGTTGCCACCTACATCTCCTTCTCTCCCCCATTACATAAGACACACTGAAAAAAAAGTACACAAAACTTACCTTAAGGACTTTTGTCACATCTGTTACTTATAGTGGACAATGGTCAACCCTTTGGTCTTGTTTTGTTTTTAGACAAGAAAGGTCATTTCCATTCTTAAGAGCATGGCCTACCTCCCTACACACAGGTGCACACAAACAACATATTCACTTTTGAAACTCCACGTGCCCAGTTCTACAATTTAGGATCAGGGGTTCACAGGTATCTTTTAATCTTTCCATTACAACAGAAAGATGTAGTGTTAGTGCTCTAGTTTTCTGAATTCCCCATTAGACCAAAAGGTTTCTGAGAATAGACATATCTGTATCACCAGTCATTTTGCACAACTAGGCATATGTTTTGTTTTTTTAACAAAATTGTAGATATATGTATATGCACATGTGTATCTGTACATGCACACATATATTCCCTAGGTCAGTCTGTCAAGAAGGCCTGGAAGCAATGACATCCCAAAAGCAATTAGCATTCAAATCACCCAGATACTTGTTTGTAAATACCATCCTCTACAAAAATAAACTTTAGGTGAGTCTAGATCAGTCAGGGCAGGTATAAAATGAGTATAGAATTTCTTGCTGTGCCAAGGAAATATCAAAATATGAAGAGATAAGTCGAAATAATGAGAGATGAAGAGAGGAACCCACCTTGTCAGATCTCTCATTGACTAATCAGGAGTATTAGTAGCATCAACATAAAGAATAATAATCATGCATTACAACTGAATACTATTGAAGGAAGTATAAAACCATAAGTCTCTACAGTAATTGAAAGAAGAGAAAATGAATGAAGTTTTTTCTTATTAGTAGAAATTCAAACAATAAGATGACGTAATTAGAAAACCACCCTTTGGCAACTGTCATAGTGGTAGCTCTCTGGATCAGTCATCTACATGGGCTACTGTGAGTGAGTTAAGTTTAAAGGGGAACAGCTTTCCAAAATAATGTCAAAACATCTCCCCTCAAAATACTAATCAAGTAAAAGAGGAAAAAAGGAACATTATGGTGAATTTGGCAGACAGAAATCTGACCAGGTGATCAATTTTAACAATACCTGGAATGAGATGGGACTAGAAAACACCAGGCTGGACAAGACTGAATGGACACAATGTGGTGGTCAGTCATCTACATGAGGACCACAGGTGGGTGACGAGGGGCACTCAACACCTCCTGCCTTCTTTTTGAGACTACACTTCCCCTTGGATGCTGCCAGACAAAAACTGAGTGATCACACAGGAGAGGGGCCTTCTTTCTGGAAAGTAATGCTAAAGGAGCTAGGGATAGAGGGGCATCCTATGGACAGTCTCCTCTCAAACGGTTCCCAAAAACCAGTTATGACAACTGACACAAAAAGACCACAGTAACAGGAGCAAATGCAGTGAAATACTGAAAGGAAATCTGGGTGAAAAGGTTATGTTCATATGGGTTTAAATTTGAAATTACTTCAAAGTAAATTATTAATAGGGAAAACTCTCTAAGAGGGTCATGAATTTCCCTCGTGATTATAGGATATCTGCACATCTACTGGAACAGATGATTTTTTAAAATAGATCTTCAGCACTGGTGAGGGAATGCTCAAGTATGGATATGGAGACAAAGTAAGCATAAGAGAGTTTTCATAAGGTAGGAAAATTTTTTGAATTCTCATTTCTCAAATTTTGTTCTATCTTCTTCTGACAAAAGAAAAGGAAGAATAAAAATTTTAAAGTCAATACTGTCATTAACTTTTTGGAATATAGTTAATAATGTAAATGGTGATGATGCTATCAAACACAAATCAAAACTAAGAAAATGAGAGTAGGAGCTGGGGATATAGCTCAGTTGCTAAAGTACTTGTCTCACATACACAAGGCTGTGGGTTCAATCCCCAGCACCCCACACGAAAAGGAAAAAAAAAAAAAAAAAAGGAAGAAAATGAGAGTAACTCTTCACATACCCTAGAAACTATCATTTGAAGCCAGCAGACAGGGGAAAGACTGAAAATACTGCAGCCAGAAAAGGATAACCTTTCTCATGGATCCCTAAAGCAGAAATGTGAGTAAGCAAGAATACCAATCCTTACTATCCTTTTAACTGTTAATATTGAAAAAACTGCAAGATTTGACTGCAATTTTATAAGCCTAGGAAAACACAAGAGGATGACCTCCTCCTTTGCTGAAATGCACAACATGGAGTCATAAGATGTTGTGAAGCTTTGAGTGCATGAGATATTTGGGGTATCAAGTCACTAATTTACTAGCTTGAAAAGATAAGCAAGATGAGCTGTAAGTGTGGCTCAGTGTGGAGAACCTGCCTGGCACATGCAAAACCCTGGGTTCAATCTCCAACCACCCCCACTCCCCGCCACACACACACACACACACACAATCTATATCTTTATTCAGTGGTGAGCACCATGCTTAGCAGGGTAGAGGCCCAGGGTTCCATCCCTAGCACCAAAAAAAAAAAAAAAAAAAAAAAAAGCAAGGTAAATATATCTTCACACCCTGTGCTTTTTACATCTGTTCAAACTACACATATTCAAATCTCTTTACCTTCTAGCACTTTCAGCACAAAATCTAAAAGAAGCAACATTTTCTTGATTGTCTTTCACAAAACGCTTGTGAGCTTTCCATAAGTGAATTCTATCTAACTATGTAGCAAAAGATCAAAGCCTTCCATCCACCATTCCTCTCCTTATGCTCTGGTCAGAATTTCTTAACCAACACAAGAAAGAGACAAAGACAGCAGGCGTTGCTGCATGGAGAGAGCAACTAAGAACAGAGCAGGGAGGAAGAGCAGGAAGAAAAGATTAACATTAAACAGATACATGAGGTGGGATGGAAAGGGAGAGAAAAGGGAAATTGCATGGTAATGGAGGGAGACCCTCATTGTTATACAAAATTACATATAAGAGGTTGTGAGGGGAATGGGAAAATAAACAAGGAGAGATATGAATTACAGTGGATGGGGTAGAGAGAGAAGATGGGAGGGGAGGGAGGGGGGATGGTAGAGGATAGGAAAGGTAGCAGAATACAACAGTTACTAATAGGGCATTATGTAAAAATGTGGATGTGTAACCGATGTGATTCTGCAATCTGTATTTGGGGTAAAATTGGGAGTTCATAACCAACTTGAATCTAATGTATGAAATATGATATGTCAAGAGCTTTATAATGTTTTGAACAACCAATAAAAAAAATTAAAAAAAAAAATAAACAAAATAAACATTGAAAAAAAAAAAAAAAGAGAGTTCTCACCCTGCACAACGCCCCTGGCCTCAATCCAGTCAACCCTCAAACAGTTACCATTTCTCTCCTTCTCACACCCCCAATTTTTCTACCCTAGCTTGCCATTTTCTTGCCCTCTGAAGGAGCTGGTGTTTATTAAAAGAAAAGACCACAGTCACATAAAAACATCAGGATAAAAGGACAAACCTCTGGGGCTGGGGTTGTAGCTCAGTGGTAGAGTGCTTGCCTAGCACGTGTGAGGCCCTAGTTTGGATCCTCAGCACCACATAAAGATAAATAAATAAAATAAAGGTATTATATCCATCTGCAACTAAAAACAAAATAAAATGGCAAATCTCTGATTCCCATATAGGTCTGCAGCCACTTGGAGGTCAAAGCACTCTTTATAACCCCACCCAGCTTTGGAGAGTCAGGGGAAATTGCTTGCTTCCTCTATCAGTAATTATTGCCCCTATTAAACTAACTAAACACAGAGATTATGCTGACTAAGCAAACTCAAATTCCTATCACCATAGCTGGGAAGCATAATTTTCTAGAAATCAGAAAGACATTGACACCCCTAATGGCCAGCATCTGTGAACTCATAGAGGTACCTGGTAGTGAGTAGATTCCATAGAAACACTCATTTCCCCCCTACTCTTCAACACCAGACTCTGAATTCTGAATTCATTGCTGAATGAAAACCCTAATTGCTGGGCCCTTTTAAAATAGAAATAACTTCATTGATTTTAATCCTAAATTATTACCACTTTGCACTTCAACTTCATAACTTCAATTAAAATTATAGTTGTTTTATATTTAAATATTTTCTATCTGACATTTTTGTGGAAAGTTTTGGGCAAGTCATTATAGACTATTTACTACTATAAACAGGCCATTCATTTAAAAGAGGTCTATTTGCAAAGCAAAGTATTTTCATGATACTCTCACTTCAACCTCCTTGCTACTAGAATAAAAAGTACATAAAATGCACAAGTACCTAACAAAGTACTACTCAGAAAGTACTACTTCACTGCTTGGACTAAAGTGCCAAAGTTATAATTATATCCCCACAATCAAGAAGTAGTAAACCATACATCTAGGCCTCTTTCCATCAAAACTCAAGACTTCATAAGAAAAGCTAAATGACACATTAATGGTTTAGTTTCTCAAACAAAACTCCATGCCCGTGGTACAACCATTTTTATAGTTTGTCAATTCCTTTCGAAGTTAAACATATCTGTAACAAGTGATCCAATCATTTCAGCCCTAGTTTAACCAAAAGAAAACATGTGTCAATATGCTTAAACAAAGACTTATACACAAAGGCTCACAGCGGCTTACTGGTAATAGGCAAGACCTGTGAAGTTCATTACAGGTCCATAAAATGGTCTTTTAAAAAGCTTAAGCACTGGGGCTGGGATTGTGGCTCAGCAGTAGAGCACTCTAGCACGGGCGGGACCCAGGTTCGATCCTCAGAACCACATAAAAATAAAGGCCTTGTGTTATGTCCATCTACACCTAAAAAATAAATAAATAAATAAAGCTCAAGCACATACTTGATATTCGATAGTATTTCTTTCTCAACTGTTTTCCGACCAAGGAGAAAGCCACTCTTCACTTTTACTCGATAGTAGATGTTATGAAAACTCAACACAGCCCCCTCGGTAAATGTCTTCAGGTCACTGGAGGTCATCCCAGGCAGGCCATTGGTGTTTCTTTGTGACATTGGGATACAAATCTGATCATCATTGGAAGTCATCTGGAGAGTTTCTGCCTTTCTGTGGAGAGAAAAGCAATGTTAAGTTGACAGTTCAGATAAATGAGATTGTAAACCCTAGATAACAATACGCTTAAACCAAGTCTGTTTTAAACTGTGTTGCAGTGAGTAGATTCCTTTAATGAACAGCCCACATCACTGTGATAAGAACAACCTTAGAATTTATAATGGGAGGGAGACACAAGTTTGAAAACCTACACTCCAATTAGATGTCAATTAAATTCCTCATAAGTAAATAGTATGGAAATTACTTTAAACTCATAAGGTAGGAAAACACAGATAAGATTTGGGTGGCTTGAAAAGCACATTATTATTTCAGTTCAGGGACAGCTTGCATGATCTCTAGCATACATCCTCTAGGGTTTTTTTTTTTTTTTTGGTTTTGTTTTTGGAGTTTGTAACATTATTACCAAAAAGGGCTTAGCTAAGCAGTCTTGTACAGGAAATTTTTCTCTGAATTTATAGTCCTATACTCCACATCTCTGATTTTTATGCACCTTCATTCAGTAAAGAATGTAAACTCCAACACTGTTTGCAATGATATCATCATTTCTTTAATGGGCAAACATTTAAATTCTAGGAAGATTTAAGTGTGAAAATGATTTAAGAAAACCAAACCAATGGTTAAGCATCTAAAGCAAAACTGAATACTATGTGTGAGTGAAGTATAAAATGTTTCATTAAACAAGTGACAAAAGGTCCCTTAAAAAGATTTAATTAGAGTAAACCCTTAAGGTGAACTGAACTTGTGAAAGAGGTTCGAAATGCTCACTTCAATAATCCTACTTTTCTTTTTGAAAAGCCAAAATCATCCATGAAGAACTCTCTTTGCCTAAGGTAGAGTAGCTGCTCTAAACTAATCATCCTCCTTAGAACAACCAGAAACATAGACAAAAGATGACAAGCAGCTGTGTGCAGGGTTCTGGTGAGAGCAACCAAAAGCAGCCAGGACATGAGGGATCCAAAAGGATCAAGGAGGGGACAGCACTGGTGCAAGTCCAGCACCCCACCAACTGTCCACACAAGGGGCAGCACTGAGGACAACCAGGCAGAAAGAAGCTGCTAGAGGCATCTTCCAGAAGCCTCTAATGTATCAGATCAAATTACTCAGCAGTCTCTTGCAAGAAAGATCTAATTAAAATTAATTCATTAAAAAAAAAAAGAAACTAAGCAATAAATATTGAAATTAAAATTTAAGTAAAGAAGAAAAAGAAAGAAACAAAATTTGGACTTGCAGGCCAGCAAAGACCAGGACCACTGAAAACCCCAAGCTTTCAAGATCCCAGAAGCATTAGGACCTAGGAATATGGAAAAACAAGAGAGACCAGACCCTGCTCTATCAAAGTGATCTGCTCAGACTTTGCTAGAAGTTAAATCCATTCTCAAAGAAGCTATCATCATCCACATTTTCAATCCAAAATTATCAGGCATGCCAGAAAATAGGATCCAAAGTTCCAAAAACAGAAAAAATAGAGGTTGACCCACAGATAATGTATTTAAGAAAATAAATGAAAAAAAAAACTGTCACCAAAGAACCACAATCTGCTTTTAAAAAATTTAAAAATCGTTGGGTGTAGTGGCGCACGCCTGTAACCCCAGCAGCTTGGGAAGCTGAGGCAAGAAGACTGAGAGTTCAAAGCCAGCCTCTGCAAAAAGCGAGGTGCTAAGCAATTCAGTGAGACCCTATCTCTAAATAAAATACAAAATAAGGTTGGGTTGTGGTTCAATGGTCAAATGCCCCTTAGTTCAATCCCCAGTACCCACACTCCCCAGCAAAAAAATAATAATCATCATCAAAACTAGGAAGTCAAGCAGGTCATGGTGGCACACACCTACTACCCCAGCGATACCAGAGGCTGAGGCAGGATGATCATGAGTTTAAGGCCAGCCTGGGCAATACAGGAAGACTGTGTTTTATAAGAAAAAGAAGGGGCTTGGGGCGTAGCTCAGTGGTAGGATACATGCTTGAAGCCCTGATTTGATCCTCAGAACTGGGGGGAAAAAATTAAGAATTTAACAGATGAACTGGCTAAGGTTGTAGCTCAGTGGTAAAGTGCTTGCCTAGCACATGTAAAGCACTGGGTTCAATCCACAGCAGACACAAAAATAAATAAAATAAGGGTACTGTGTCCATCTATAACTTAAAAAAAAAGAATTTAATAGATGAGTGAAAATTAATGAATCAAAAGGCTAGTATCAAGAAAATGTCTAGGAAGAAAATTATTAATGATGAAAATTATCACCATGGTGTGGGGGAGAAGCTCCTGATTGAAAAAGGTTCAGCATACATGTAATTAGAGACTGGGAGAGGGAGAAAATGGAGTAGAATCAATGTTCCCAGATATATTGGCCAAGTATTTTAAAAATTAAAAAAGGCATTAAGCCACTGATTGAAAAAGCTCTAGGGAACAGCTGCTTAGTTTCTATGAGAGTTCTAACAATCTTCCTCAGAAAGATGCGGGGCCTTCATAACACAGGTCCAAAAAAAAAATGAGTAGACATGTCTAACCACAGCCCAACATCCAGCTCACATGTGTAATACCATGAAAAAAAATGTAAACATACTGCATTTCTTACATTAATATGATACAAGTTATTACACTAGGATGAAATTTAAAAAAATATATAGTAAGGTAAAGAAAATACACCACCTCAGCTCCATAGAGTACCCAATCTCTAGTTAATTCCGCATACAAGGTTTAGGTGACTCCAGGAAAAAAAAAGTAACTGATTTCAAGTATATTTCTCTGTGGTCAGCACTAGTCTCTCCCCCCCCCCCCACAGCTCTCATGGGATTAGTCTTTTTATGTAAAGAAAAACACTCATTACATCTAGACCTCCCTGTGTCACATCAGCCTCCCAATTTGTTTCTGTTTCCCAGCTTCCAGAGCTCCTGTGAATGCTAATAGGATTTTACTCACCTCTATGTCCTAGGCCTACTGCAAAGATCTTCAGTGTTTAGATAAAAGCATTCAAATGATCTCACAACCCACCTGCACCCAATACTCTGAGCTGATTATACATCCCAGCCAATTTGCAAAGGTTCCTCCCCAGTGATCTGGGAGCTTCCCTTTTCTAGCTTTCCTTTTCTGGGGGTCTACTTACATCACCCTCTCCTTCATGTTGCCTTCTAATTTGTGAGACCATACTTAGTTTTATTGAAACTTTTTTCTTCACTATATACTACTATAACTATTATTATGATAATCTGCATTAAAATGCCAATTCTCTCTTACCAAAACTCAGTTTTCATGCAACAAAGATTGTATATATATCAGAAAAGTACACAGGCAAATACTAAGTCTTCAGCTAGACAGCTGCCCAGTTATAACCACTGCATCTGTTGGTAGGAAGGACAGCAGCCTCAGACAAAGAGATCAAGGCCTTCCCTTACATTTTTCCCTCTAGGGATGATTCTAGAAAGGGGAAAATTGCACTCTGCCTCACAGTATTAGGGCTGCTGCTTAAACAAATATCTCCTTAAACCATGGATTAAGATTACTGCCAAGAGATCCTGAAAAGGAGTTAGAATGCCTCACCTTACTTACTTCAATTTAAAAATGAAAAGGAACAATTAAGGGCTGGGGATGTGGCTCAGTGATAAAGTGCTTACCTGGCATGCGTGAGGCCCTGGGTTCATAATCCCCAAGCACCAAAGAAAAGGAAAAATTAAAATAGGAAATTTAATTTTCAAAAAATTATCCCTTGCATTTAAAATCCCTTCTATTGATTGATGGGTTTAATGTTGGCTCCCATTTAAAGGATCCAGTGTAAGGCACCCAGTGTTGTCTCTATAGTCCAAGGCTGCTGGACTAATATAGTTTTGAAATCAGTCCACTAAGGTGCTCTAGGACCCCCACATCATTGTAGTAGTGATCTGGAGGGCATGACAATTTCATACAGATTGGAAGCAACCCCAAGGAAGATACGTCTGCTCAGTGAGAAGCCCTCAAGCCTTTTAATCAGGAATGGCTCACCATACCAATTATGTTTTTAAAAGAACACACTCAGAGCTCCTGGAATCCTTATTTATCTCTGTATATCTCAGCACAGCACCAGACACAACACTAAGGAACTATAAAACAGAGGACCAGGTTTCTCAGACACACCCCTGAGGATGCAGGAACATACTGTGCAGCACTCTTCCCCTGCCCCACAAGAAGGTGGGATGGATGTGGGGAAGGGCAGAGCTCCAGCAGGGGAAGGACCTCCCGGGAGCCATTTGCGGGAGGATGCTAGACATTTAACCTGATGCTCAGGATGCTCTCCACCAAACTACTCTCTGACTCTAAGAATACTTACTAGTTTTAACCAATCCCAAACAACCCCACTTCCCCAGCTCCCCTAGCCCACCAAATCTGGAGAAAACAAGGCAAGAATAAATAATGGTTTCCTTTAGAACCACAGAAACTGGAGAAAGGCTTACTGATATTTACAGGGGAACTGATTCAGAAGTTACTATGAATTTAAATAACAGGAGTAGCAAACAGGATTTGAAGGGGAATTGGGATAGGGTGGGGGACAGGGATGGGGGAGGAAGGTAGGCAGAGGCCCAGGAGTCACCACCCTTTCTCTTTTCCTTCACAAGGCTATCCCACCAAACTGGCACTGTGGGAAGAAGAGCAGCAAGGAGAGAGAGGTGATTAGAGAATTTCAGGATCCTGAGGTGCCAAGAAGAAAATAAAAGGAACCAGCAAATGTCAAGCCAAGTCTGAGTTGGAATTTGCCAGAAGCTACACAGCACAGGGTCTACAACCCAGTCCTTCCACAAGAGTCTAATATGTGTCTAATAGATGTCTATACCTTAAGGTCAGTATTCTTCTTCCCTTCCGGTTTTTAATTCAATAATCATAACCAGAGCCAGACATAAAATGAACAGGAAATGAGAGGTGGACAGCAGCACCACTTCTCAAAATTCTGATGTATTTCAGAACATACATTTTAGATGTATTTTAGAACATAACCTAACATACAAAGGTACAAAGTGTGTGCGTGCGCGCG